CCGTGCACATCGCCAACTTGGCCAGGCGCATGGCAAGTCCCACATGCCGGGTGGCATTGGTTTCCCCATGAGTGCGTGGATTATTGAAGCTGGTTTGCAGCTAACACAGCCATCCCCTCCATGGACCAAGAGCAACATCCAGCATCAACCAGGAGAGGCAGACGGGAACATTGAGATGTGTTCAGTTCAGGCTACTTCATGTGAATGCATTGGGTTAAGCTTTTAATCATTGGTTAATAAATTATTTTACACTAAGGCGAGTGTGCACTCTCTCTCTCTTTTGGTTTGTTTCTGGTTTAGATCTGTTCCTGCCACCTGGAGGAATTACTGAGCGCTGCAGCAGCCAAGTGTTTAATGAACTTTCTGTCACATAGTAACTCTTTTTACTAGTCCTTGATGGGATATAAAAATCACTACATATCCACTTGCCCTCCAGTGGATTTACCCCCCTTCCTGACCAGGCCATTTTTTGCGATATGGCACTGCGTTACTTATGCGTTATGTAACGCCCAAATGAAATTTACATCTTTTTTTCCCACAAATAGAGCTTTCTTTTGGTGGTATTTGATCACCTCTACATTTTTTATTTTTTGCGCTATAAACAAAAAAATGCTGACAGTTTAAAAAAAAACTATATTTTTTTGACTTTTTGCTATTAAACGTGTCTACTGTAAAAAATTTAAAAAATCAAATTTCATCATAAATTTAGACCAAAATGTATTCTGCTTCATGTCTTTGCTAAAACAAAATCCCAATACGTGTAAATTAATTGGTTTATGTGAAAGCTACAGCGTTTACAAATGGAGGTATATATACTAGGATTTAAAAAAAAAAAATTTTATTTTTACTAGTAATGGTGGTGATCAATGACTTATAGTGGGACTGCAGCAGGCATTCTGACATGGGGGGAACTGACTAACTATCACTTATATCCCCAGTGACACCAATACAGTGATCAGTGCTAATAAAAAGCACTGACACTGTACTAATGATACTGGGCGAGGAAGGATATAAACATCTGGGGCGATCAAAGGGTTAACTGTGTGCTGTTTTACTATATGGGCGGTGTGTGCTTTACACTGTAAGCACACTGCTTTGTATTGTTCTGCTATGCAGAGCAATACAAAGCAGTGTGCATGAGCTGACAGGGAAGAAATCTGTATTGTTTACATACAGGTCTTTCCCCCGTTGGTAATACTTTGAGATCGCCGGGTGCCAGCAGGGAATCACTGGCCGGGACCAGGTGATTGACAGCCGAGGCCGCGAATGGTGGTGCAGGTAGGAGGCACACGTGACGTGTGTGCACCCCCTACCCAGGAATGCAAAATCACGTATATATACACGTGTTATTGCGCAGCCGTGCCGCCCTGTAGCAGCTGCTATAAAGTGGCGCGGAAGCAGATATACTAGTGCTTTTTTTTGTTGTGGTACTTGTTGAGTATATAGAATGTGTCTATACATACTTATTCCACATTTAAATGTAGCTTGTTTACATCCTTTTGCTTTAGTTTATGTTATGTTCACCCCTGACGAACATGGAATAATACTTTGTTAATACAATTTCCCCAAACACTTAAGTAAGTTTTGAATACCATGGTAAGTTAGCAACTGTAATTTAACTATGGTTTATATTGACGTAGCATTATTGAATTATTTAATATACACATTGGATTCTCTAGTGAACATCTTCTCACCATTTAGTATCTATTTCATTTAATCAGATTACACTTTGGAGTCTGCTGTGTCTTCAGGGATTGTGGTTATTTCCCTAATGCTGACATGATGCCAGAAGAGAGACTATAACTGTCATAATGAGTCCATGACATATTAATGACTATGTTGGTTTTTCAAAACATACACTCCACTGTGTATATTACCTCAAATTCATTATGCAGTTAAGAAGGTACAAACATTTATAAAAAAGGCTCTTTGCTTCTGGCCCATCCAAACAGAAGCACAGATAAATCTTCCTCTCTAGTAAGCTATAGATTACCAGTTCTGCACTTTCTGTGTAGAGGATTAACCATGCCCATTAAAGTGTAATAAAGCTCTTAGTATCATCATAACAATAATTGCTGTAGAAGATTTAAACTGCATTGCTTCTGAAACATGGCATACTGGGGTTGTTTTTCTAAAGGCAAATAGGCATTTCACTTTATGAGGAATTTTCCCTTAGCTTAAGAAATGTGCTGAAATTCAAAGACTACCCAATCGTGTGCAAGCAAAAAAAAAAATATTCCTTGCACATTATTGAATGGTAGAAGTCAGCAGAACTTCACCTCATTCACTGAGCTAAGGCAAAATTTGCTTTAAAAAATAAACCTCTGATCCTTGGCCAACCTGGAGGGCTACTATCATCTTGATACATATCAGACAATCTCTTTAACCACTTGATCTCTGAAAGGTTTTACCCCCTTCATGACCAGAACATTTTTTTATATTCAGCAATTGCTTAGTCATGCAACACTGTACCCAAATTAAATCTATATACTTTTTTTCACATAAATAGAGCTTTCTTTTGGTGGAATTTGATCACCACTTAGGTCATTTTTTATTATATAATCAAAAAAAGACAGAAAATGTTGAAAAAAAAAAACTTTTTATACTTTCTGATATAAAACATATCCATTTAAAAAAAATCAAATTTTTTCATAAATTTATGCAAAATGTCTATGGTAAAAAAAAAAAATTCTCAATAAGTGTAATATTAATTGGTTTGTGTGAAAGAAAAACTTGCAGCGTTTTTACCACATTTTACCTTGCGTTTTGCCATGTTTTTCAGCATTACAGCGTTTTTACAGCTAAAAAAACTCTTCTAGAAACCCACTAGTCCTGATTTTTTTTTCCAGCCAAAAACGTCCCTGCCAAAAAAAGTTGATTACAGTCTATGTGTGCATGGACACATAGGATAACATGCTGGGGGGTTTACTAGCTGTGGAAAAAAAATATCAAAAGTCAAAAAAACAGCCTCAGTAAAAAAGTCCAGTGTGCATGAGGACTTAAGGTTAAGGAAATTGTGTCAGTAAGATTACAATCCAGACTATCAGCAGTTGCCATGGCTGTCATCCACTTGCTATTATTACCATGATATTCTTTAAAGACAACCTTGCCAAATTTTGTTTATTTTATTTGAAAGCAATAAGAGCCTTGAACACCCTTGGAGTGTGTGCACCTTCAAAAGGACTAGACAGAAACATATGCCTGCCATTTCTGCAAGGCCATTCTTCAAAGTTGTGCATGGAACCTATAGGAAAACCCTAGTAGCTTTTGAAAAGAAGAAGGAGCTTTTGAAAAGAGAAGGAACACCAGGCCATAGGCATTTATATAATTTGCTAAACCTGTTTCAAATGGCGCAAGTCTTTCCATTACACATGCAGCTGTTGGAGGCCTCACCTCAACCCCTGCCCTACAGTTTTGCAATGCTGGCTGAATATGACATTTGTGTGCCCCCTAGTGGCTGCTCCAAGCCAGTCAAACTGTGTGCATGCACCATGTGCTCTCCTCTGCTCTGGCGCAGGGGCGGCCTGACCATTTGGAAACTCGGGCACTGCCCAAGGGCCCGGGGTCAGTAGGGGGCCCCATGAGATGTCCCTGGTACCTTTTTCATAGGCTTTTTTTTGAGTTTGGGAAAGAGGCTTTTTTTGAGTTTGGGAAAGGACACAGGGGGCCCCATGATCCCCTATTGCCCGGGGGCCCCATGAATTGTCAGTCCGCCCCTGCTCTGGCGAGTTCATTTACAGCCATTCTGGGCCATTTAAACTGTGCACATGTATAGTGTGCTCACTCTCTAGCTGAGATCAGGCTGCTAGGGACACACAATTGTCCAGCCCATTCTGCAATCAGCAGGGTGGAGGGAGGTCGCAGGTCCAGCAGTTTTTGTGGACAGACACCCCCAACATCTGCACATGCTTAACACTTTAAAAAATGCATTCAGTTTATCTGTCATGTCTATTCAGCTTTATTCCTATACATTCATTGGATATGATAGCTTCCTTTCCAGAGGACATCTGTACATATACAAAATACATGTGTACTTACACAAGCCAACAAGAAGGCAATAACTCTCAGAGAGATATGGTTAAAGTAATTGTACCTGCAGTATTCTGACAACACGGTAATTAACAGAAATGCACTACATTTACCAAGCAACAGTATATAAAGACGACAGATGAACTTGTACAATGTTAGTCTCTTCCCCAGGGTGCCCTCCTCTTTGTGTCCTCAGTGAGGGACAGGAATTGCTGTGATGACTCTCTTTCAATTCTACTGAGTTAGTCCTTCCTTTCCTTCTAGTGCTCTCCAGTACAATCTGATCTCACCAGGCATCTAAATAACATCTCACACCCTCCTAGGGAGATACTTCTCGAGCTCTGAGGCAAGGTGAGTAGTTGTTTGCTTCTCCTGACTGTGGTCAGCTATGTCAGGGTTCTGTTCAGCCAGCAGCAGACTAGTCTTCTCGCCACAACACCTGCTTGCTTCAAGACAGTCCTCTCCTCTTTCCACACCAGCCTCCAGACCCCTTTCTCCTTGCTCTGTTGCATCAGCCAATCACTGTCCTCCAGGATTGACACAGGCTCGGCCAAGATGGTTGCCCCCTTCAAAGGAGATACCCTATAGACAAGCATTGCAAATTGTCTCTTTAACCACTTGCCTACTGGGCACTTATACCCTCTTCCTGCCCAGGCCAATTTTCAGCTTTCAGCGCTGTCGCACTTTGAAAATACAATTGCGCGGTCATGCAACACTGCACCCATATGACATTTTTTTCATTTTTTTTCACACAAATAGAGCTTTCTTTTGGTGTTATTTAATCACCACTGGGTGTTTTATTTTTTGCTCTATAAACAAAAAAAGATCAAAAAATTAAAAAAAAAAGTTTTTCTTTGTTTCTATTATAAAATTTTGCAAACAGGTAATTATTCTACTTCACTGATGTGCGTTGTTGAGGCTGCACTGATAGGTAGCACTTTTCAGGCACTGATAGGCAGCACTGATGAGGTGGCATGGATAGGCAGCACTGATGGGCACTAATAGGCAGCACTGATAGGTGGCACTGATAAGTTGGCACTAATGATGCTGCACTGATATGCAACAATGATGGGCACTGATAGGCAGCACTGATGGGCAGTACTGCTGGGCACTGGGTGGCACTGACTGATGGCACTGACTGGTGGCACTGCTGGGCACAGGTGGGTGTTACTACTAGTCGCTGATGGGCACAGCTGGGTGGTACTGCTGGGCACTGATGGGCACAGGTGGGTGCCACTGCTGGGCACTGATCATCAGGCCACTGATCATCAGTGCCCTGATGATCGGTGCCGATCCATCCTCTGACAATTGCCGGTTATATGCAGGCGATAACCAGCAACTGCTGGACACATGGTAAAAAGACCGCTGTGATTGGTCTTTTATCACATCACATGATCAGCTGTGTCCGTAGGACACAGTCATCATGGAGATCGCCGGGTTCGGGCCCCCCCGAGGGCGAGCGGGAGGGTGCGTTCTGGGAGGACGTCATATGGCACCCTCCCAGAACTGGACAACCGCGCTGTAGCCGTCATTCGGCAAGAGTGCGGTTGGCAAGTGGTTAATGATGGTTACTGCGCTTTCTGCATTATTGAATATTCAATTTAACACTGTCCACACTGCAAAAGGATAATACTTAGACATGAACGAAAATTTTTGTTTTTGTTTTTGTTTCAATTCAATATTGAATATCGAATTTCGGAAGATGGTTATTATTTTTATTTTAATCTAATATAATGTATTGTTTTTGCTATTTTATTCTTTTCTATTATATTCTAATCTATTCTATTCAAATTTATTCTATTAAAAATTTGAATTTCAGAAGATGATTATATTGTTTCTATTCTATTCTATTGTTTATTTTCTATTCTATTCTTTTCTGTTCTATTCTTTTCTATTCTGTTCTATTCTTTTCTATTCTATTCTAATCTCTTCTATTCAAATTCTAATTTATTTTATTAGAAATTTGAATTCAGAAGATGGCTGGCTATATCTCTATTACACTATTATATTCTATTGTTTTTTAAATTCTATTCTATTCTTTTCTACTCTATTCTATTCTTTTCTATTCTCTTCTATTTTTTTCTATTCTATTATTTATATTCTATTCTATTTTTTTATTTCCTATTCTATTCTTTTCTATTCTAATCTATACAATTTGAATCTGAATTTATTCTGTTCAAAATTTGAATTTCAGAAGACAGTTATATTTTTTTTTCCTTTTCTATTCTTTGTTTTTTCTATTCTATTCCATTTTTTCTATTCTATTCTTTTACTTTCTATTCTGTTCTTTTCTATTCTAATTTAGTCTATTTGAAATTTGAATTTCAAAAGACAATTATATTCTTTCTATTCTAATCTATGCTATCATTTTATCTATTCTATTTTATTCTAACCTATTCTATTCTATTTTATTCTAATCTATTCTATTCTGTTTTATTTCATTTTAATCTATTCTATTTTATTATTGTCTATTTTTTACCTTTATTTTACTTTCTATTATATTTTATTTTCTGCTCTATTCTATTTTATTTTATTATTTTTAATCTGTTCTGGGTTTTTTATAAATCAAATAAAGTTTTATTGAGTAACAAACAGAACAATTATTCAGCAATTTCAGAAATTCCTCTCTCATATACAGCAAATATCAGCAGATACAGGGAGCAAACCAAGTAGCCGTCCACAATACTGTATTAGTGTACAAACGTCAAGCTACAGCAGGATATAAAAAGGGCTAGATATAATGTAAATAATAAAACGGCAGCTGATGGGCAAAATAATTGCATATACACATTGGGATACTCTGTCAGCTGATAGGAGCTTGTCCAGGACCAAATCCAGTGGGCTCAGACACAGAGTACCTAACCATGGGCCCCAAAGATCATCAAATTTACAGAAGCAGCCTCTATGTTGGTATATCTGTTTCTCCAGCCAAAGCGTTTCACCCATACATTGTACCCACTCTTTATGAGAAGTTGGTTCAGATGACTTCCAATGCCGAAGTATAACCCTCCAAGCCTGGAAGAGAACTCTAGCAACTGCCTCCCTAGTAAGAAGCAGTAACTGAAAGTCATCTAAGATACCCAACAAACAGGGTTTGGGATAAAGTAGGATAGAAACTTGAAACACAGTATTTATGGTGTGTATCTCTCCTGCCCAATAAATGTGTAATTTGGGGCATCGCCACAGTAATTGAATTAGATCCCCATGGTCTCTGGAGCATCTACCACAGGTAGGGGTGTCCACAATACTCATTCGGAATAGCCAGGACAGCCAGTAAAATGTGCTCTTATTACAATTGCATAAGATGTTGTGTCAGCAGTCTGCAGCAGCCCACACTGTTGAGTCTGTGCCTCACCTGCTCCCTATCCTCAGTCGCCGGCTGCCACATGTGTCACTTCTGCCAGGGGTGGCATCACCCCCCTGAAAAATGCCGCCCTACGCAAATGCCTTGTTTGCCTTGTGGTAAATACACCCCTGACTGCTGCACACAGAATCTAGTGCAGCTGTGCATGGTAACCAATCATATTCTAACTTCAGGTTGATCAATTTATCATTGACAATAAAACCTAGAAGCTGATTGGTCAATATGCAGAGCTTCACCAGATTCTGTGTGCAGCAGTTGTAGTAAATCTTCCCCTAAATGTTGTCCTGTTTGGATTCAGAAGTATTTGAAGTTCCCTGCAGTTTGACTGCTATAGGTAACAAATTTTATCTATCAAAAATTCTGTTCATGTAGAAGTAATATAATTGTTGCCCATTTCTTCTAGGAGTCTTAAGTCTTTACTTTTAGAAAATGTTTTCACTTGAAAGTCGGAATCCACCCCAGAGTCTGGAGCGGCACATGGCTCAGCCTCTCAGCAATCTGCAGAGAGCCTGAGCCAGCAGTTCCCTCCACAGCCCAGTGCTCCGGTGAGTGATTTGGGGGGGAGAGCAGAGAGTGGTGACTGACAGTCACCGCTCTCTTCTCAGAGCAGCGGTGAGAACTCATCAATCAGCGGTCATGTGATCGCTGAGTTCTCACCCTTACAGCCGGCGGGGTTCAGATGCAGCATCGGACCAATGCTGCATCCACCTAGGTAAGTATGATTTTGAAAACAAAACCCATCGCACACTTCAATTTTAATCTTTTAGGGAGGGAAAGAAGCATTAAAAACTATAAAAAAAAACAAAACAGTGGTGTAGTCCTGTAAAAGTGAAAAACAAAGCAGACTAGCTTATTGAAGACAGTTTAAGCTTGTGGATACATTATTTTAGCATATGATATCATCAGCAATTATTGAAATATTGCTCAACATCTTATCTTAAATATACTGTAGAGCAAAAGGGCTACATGTGTGGTCTCCAGGAGACATGGATTCCTAGATTCCCTTTGCTCCAGTTGTTCTAGAGCAGTGGTCACCAAACTGCGGCCCACGGATGTGGCCCTTTTCTTGTCTTTATCTGGCCCTTGGGACACTATTCCTCCCTCTGTCAACAAGGTTGAGGCACCATTCCTTCCACCGATACCAGTAGTGGGGCATAATTCCTTCCACTGACACCAACGATGGGGAACTGTTTCTTCCACTAAAACCAACAATGGGGCACTATTCTTCCTAATGACACCAACAATCGGGCACTATTTCTTCCACTGACACCAGTGGAAGCCAATACACTCCCACCCAGGGGTGGACTGACAACTCATGGGGCCCCCGGGCAATAGGGGATCATGGGGCCCCTGTGTCCTTGCCCAAACTCAAAAAAAGCCTATGAAAAAGGTACCAGGCGCATTTCATGGGGCCCCCTACTGACCCCGGGCCCTCGGGCAGTGCCCGAGTTTCCAAATGCTCAGTCCGCCCCTGCTCCCACCAATACCAGCAATGGGGCATCATCCCTCCTTCTGCTAACCGTATGTGCTTTGTAATTGTTGTACACCTACTGACCACCAAACCTGAGGAACTGTTTACTCCCACTGATGCTGGGACATTTTCTACTTCCACTGGTCACAGTCTGGCCCCCTAAGTCCTTTGTTTAGAAAGTTTGCAGACTGCTGTCGTAGAGTGAACATTTGGATATAGTCACAGTCTAGAAGGGATACAAATTGGCCATGTACAGTAACCCTTTAATTGTTCTTTTATTAATGGTGCAGACTAACATGAACCTGCAGAGCTTCGTGCGTCTCCTGCCCGACATCCATCCTTTGAAAAATCAAAGGAGCCAGGTGGAAAATTATTGGCTGAAGAATGGCTGCATCCAATTAGATGCAGCCACTGTTCTGGTATGGTAACTGCCAGTGGGGCTGGCTGTCAAAATACAGTGGGAGAGCTGTCTATCAAATCCACACTGTGTAAAGTGGATGGAGTAATCTGTCAGTTCATACAGCCCACAGATATAGTGTATGTCCAGCCTGTGATGTTTAGTGATTAGTGTTTTATTACTCGGCTTTGAAATATTTCCAGAACCTGCTGTACAATACATAGACACATACAAGGGTGATGGCAGTTCTAAAAAAATCGAGTCTGTCCCCTTTTTATTTTTTTGGGGGGGTTGTTTTTTTTTTCTTTAACCTTTTTGCCTGAGTATAGTCTGTTTGTCCCAAGTATGTTTAAATTTACTTACTGTTGACTAACTATCTCTGCTGACAATTATGACAATTATGATTTTCTCCTGCTAGCTTGAGGCTATGGCCCTGTGTTCTTGATCTTGGCTAAATATTGAAAAGGCTGCCCTCCTGAACCTTATTCCCCCAATATACCATAAAACAGGGCTTTTTTTCAGCGGGAACGTGGGGGAACGCAGTACTGGCACTTCCAGCACTGAATGTATGTAATGGTAAGGGGTACTGGGGTGTGCTGAAGGGTCTATTGATGCTGAGGGAACTATTGTTTGTGGAGGATTTATTTTTGCATGGGGGTCTTTTGTAGCAGGGGGTTCTATTGTTGCTGTGGAGGATCTATGGTTTGCTGAGAGAAATCTACTGTTGAGGGAGGGGTCTATTGTTGGCTGCTGGAGGGTTTATTGATGCTGGATGCTGGGGGATCTGTTTTTGTTCCCGGGGGGTATTGTTGTTGGGGTGGACTTATTGTTGTCTGGGGGCTATTGTTGTTGGTTGCAGGGGATCTATTTCACTGCCTTTCTTGTTATCAACAAATTCCATACAAATTACTTAGCACCATAAAATGATACTTGGTTCTGTATTCTCTAAAAGGGGGGGGGTACTGGGAGGTGGGTAGGGGGTGGAACTGAAGGACAGTACTCAGAGGTAGGTAGAGGGCAGATACAAGGGTGACTCAGACGAGGGGAGTTTCTGCACCTATTCTCTGAGAAAAAAGCTCTGCCATAAAGTATAACATTTCTGAGAGAACTAATCTTGGTTAATGTGCATTCCTGCTATTTCCTCAGTTATTAAAAAAGCAACTACATGGAACATGACTGCTACAAGTAGATATCAGTTTATTTGGCATGCAAACCAAAGCGTGGCTCTTCTCTCATAAAGAACACCAAACAATGCAATCTATAATAAAGGGATTTTTTACATTTAGACATAAGAAGACAGCCCTGGACAGATGACTTTAATGTTTGTTCCTGCTTTTTTGCCTTTAGCTTGGTGAGATCATGCATGCAAAATAGGAGCATATGGTCAAGTGCCTGGAGGATCGAAAATGTTTATTTAAGATTCATCTATCTATATTTCCGCATAGTGATGCATTTTACACGTTTGATATTATTTATTTGGTTTAGTGTTGAAGACATTTCTTGTACTGTACTGACTGTGGAATATGCATGCTGGGCATTTAACCTGAAGGATTTTTTAGATCATTTCTTCAGCTGGTTTTAAGCATAGAAAGTCATAAAGGTATGGAAAAGATAAGAAGTGGGAGTTGATAGGAACAGTGTCACAGCATGATTCCCTTGCAGCAAAGGAAATGGCAAATCAACTCTTCTATCTTGCAACAGATAAGTGCACAGACGTTCATAGTGTGCTTCAGATACATTTCACGACAAGAAGGAAGAGGGGATGAAAGGGATTTGACAGCCTGCTGTCACTTTCATACATTTGACATGGGGAGTAGGGACTCCTCTGATAATAAAGATAGAAAGTTTTGACTGTAATGAGAACCTGAAGTCAAGACACCAAATGTAGAAATAAATATGAAGTGTCAGTAACGATAGCTTATTTTTGTTGCTTGAAACACTATTTGTCAAAACAAGTAATAACCCACCTTGGCTTTCAGCCAGTAACAATTCCAACAACATGTCAGTGACACCAGCCTCCCTTTGGCCACTGACTCAGTGAAGACAATATCTTTATGTGTTGAACTTCAGAGGAGGAAATGTAGAGGTATTGTAACATTGATTTCAAAGCTATCGATTCACTGTGCCCAGACTACGGACATTCAGCTATTCATATATTCTTAACAAACAATAACGGTGATTTAACATATAATGAAGATCAACAGCAGCAAAGAAGGTGGGCTTTCATGCCCACATGCTGCACATATGCTTTCACAGAAGCAGAGGTAATAGAATTGAGTCATAGAAAGCTCCTGATCTCTAGTAATGATCTGGAGTTGGCATGACCTGCCCCCGGTCAAGTGATCACTGTGACAACCAACAGTAGTGGTCACATGGTCAGACAGTCGCTGCCACTTTCTGGGCATAAGGACTCAGTTAAAGGGAAGTTGGAGCTTAAAACAAGCCTTTACTGACCTCCCTAGCTGCTTTTCATGTGAAGTTGTTCATTCTGAAAAATCCTCATAGAGCACAATAAAGACTCTAAGGTCAGATTTTGGACCTAATGCACACAGATGCTGAGAGGTGGAAAATATGCCCAGTGTAAAATTCTGGGAATTTTCCCATGCCCAGGGAGCCGCAGGCCCTCCATACAGTCTGCCATATGTATGAATGCCCTTCTCTTGTAAATGTCGATTCTTCTGGCGATCCTGCCAGCAACACACTTTCTGTTTTAGGGTAACACAACCATGTTGTATCTATGGAGGAACAGCATTTTCACCTCAGGCTGCTCAGTCATGATTTAGAGTACTTAATACCTCCCCCTCTCTTCATCCTCTCAACATAAAGGGGGTATTCTCTAGTCTACAGAGGTGCACTGGGAAGGGATGATCCTTGGGTTAAAAGTACAAGGACACAAAACAGTACTGAATTTCTATATAAAGAAAATGCAGCGCTGTGTGATGTTACTATATTGAGGGCAGATATAAATAATAAATGAAACCAAAGCAAATGAATAAATGAATAAATAAATAAATCAATAAATAAATCACAGTCCAGTAATGGTGCTCGCTGATTCCCAGTGCAAAAGTTAGAAATGCGCACTAACCAGAAACGTATTAATAATACGCATGTGTATATGATATCATGGAGATTCTCCTCTTTTCTGGTCTGGTAATGGGCAGGAGCTGAAGATAGTAGAGATGAAGCTGAGTTCTACCTCTGAAGAAGTGCGTGCGCACGAAACGCCATTGACATTTCTAACTTTTGCATTGGGAATCAGCGAGCACCATTACTGGACTGTGATTTATTTATTTATTTATTTATTCATTTGCTTTGGTTTCATTTATTATTTATATCTGCCCTTAATATAGTAACATCACACAGTGCTGCATTTTCTTTATATGTATATTTTTGGGACTTTTATGTGTTTTCCTTGAATGTTCAGCTGCTGACCATTGGAGCGCTCACTGTATTTTTTATACTCTCATACAGTACTGAATTTCTGGCAGAATTAACCCTTTGAAGACCATAAGATTACGGAACGCCAAAAGAATCAATTTTTTGTTTTTAAAGTTCGTACACTTCAGTTGCTGTAACTAAGCCATTTCATGAAATAATTGGCAAAAAGCTAGATCCATTTGTTGATAAGAACTAATATTTTGACTCAAACCAAAAAAAAAAAAAAAAAGTATTTTAAGTTCTTAATCAGATGATACAGGCAATTAAAAACATGGGACAAATACGTCCCTTGGTCCTCAAAGGGTTTTTTTTTTATTTATCAAACAGATGTAGCAAAATGTATGCAATGGTATGCTAAAGAGACAAAAAGGAAGCAAATGAAAGAAGTTCTTTGCTCAGGTTTACATACACTTTAGTGGTAAACACTAGTGTAGAATACCCATGGGATAACCTAAAGTAATTAAATGGTTTTGGTTGCTTCTTGACTCTGGTGACATCCTAGCTTCCCCACTAAGAAGGCGAGAACAATTATTGAAGATAACGTTTATCCAGCAACAGCAACTTGTTGAAAAGGGAAAACATGTTAAAGGATAAATTCACCTTTCGGAACATATTACATGTTCCTCCAGGCTGCATAGTTCATTTACAGACTTCCGTGAATGAATGAACTGCAAGTCCCGATAGCCCTAGCAGCTGTGGGCTTGTAGTTTTCAATGAACTACCAAGGTGCTGTGGAGTGTCTTGGTAGTTCATTGAAGCTTCTTATCAGAATATCTGCTCGCTCATACATCCCGTACAGCAAGCAGATATTCTGATAGGTCTGCAGGAGACCTGCATGGCATCAGCGATCTACTGATCTCTGGTGCAATGCTTTCCAGGCTCCTGTAGACAAAAATAATAAAAATGTGTATGTGACGGGAGCGACTTTTGGGGGTGGGGGGACCCCTGTATCATCTCCCCAAATCATTATGTTTAACCCACCCTGTGCCTGTTTAAGGGTACAGGGTGTACATGTGAATGTCCCAGTATTGTGCATTTGTGTGTTGTCCTTTGTCTAGACCACATGGCTGTCCATTGTTTGTTTGCCATGTGCTCCCCCCCGTGGTGCTGTGCCTTCCTGTCCAGCCAACTATTATGGGAGGTACTGTTTGTGTATTGGTGTGGGGGGTTGGTCAATGTCCTTTGCCA